TTATTAGACTTATGTGTGTTGCACAAGCTCATTGCATCTGGCATGGGTTCTCTGGGCACGGGTGACTCACCAGTCAATAGAAATCTTTTCACTTTTCATTTTCAACGGCTAAAAAAGTTTTTCATCGATTCCATTCACATTGAAACAAAAACTATATATGCTTGTTGTTGTTTTTCTTCACAATTCACACTAAATTTGAATACTAGTTTAGGGGAAAGTTATAGTAAAAAAAAAAGTAAAATAAATGTGTACACCTTATAGAAGTCTTCAACCAGTCAGAATAGATACAACTGTATGACACCATGTACCTATAAGAGGCAAGTGCATGTATAGTAGCCGTTTATATCTAGTGTTGGCCAACTGTAGATCACTATAGATAATTCAGATTTCCATGGTATTTGGCAATAATAACAGTTGATCAGATTCAAAGTCAGTTTTCGATTTATAAGCACACTAGTTCTCTAATTTGTTTAGAGATTGATAAACTTGATATATCATTTAGTGTGAGTAAATATAAATAAATCAAACCATACCAACCAATGACTTTAGTAGTTTATGCTTGTTGGCTATCAATTTCAATGTGAATAGGATCCATGAAATGCTTCTTGAGATATTCAAATGAAAAAAATGCAAAGAGATCTATTTAACTCCTGGTACATGCTGTATACAATGAACTTAGATGCTTTCCCTATGTTAACCCTATGTTAACCCTAGTCCCTACCATATTGTTAGGTCCTGTCCTAGTGCCGTTCTGTAGGGAGCATTGGCGACTTACTTGTGTTGAGCCTATGCTCGGTCGCACCACCATACTCCTATACTAGGCACCGTGTCTTTTATTTCAATTGTGTATGACCGGAATTCTGTATTCGTACGCCCTATTAGGACTGTTGGACTTCAGCCACTTGCTTCGGCACGTACTAGCCCAGAATTCTTCGTACAGGTCATATTCACAGGACTATACTAACCAAGTGTGTTGGCTTCTCAGATGCTCAGATGCTAGGATGTTCTGTTGGCTTCTCAGATGCTCGGATGTTAGAATGTTTTGTTGGATTCTCAGATGCTTGGCTGCTAGGATGTTCTGTTAGATTCTCTGATGCTAGGATGTTCTGATGTTGATCTCTCAAAAATTGATAACTGACTGTAAAATTAGCCTCTATATATACTAATTGGAAGGATCCTGGGCACTAAATATACTAATTAGAAGTTCGTCCATAACCAATCAAATTTCCAAGTGCCATAACGGACCAATAAACTTACACATGCAAATAAGGAACTTATCAGACATTTTATGTTTAACTTTGTTTGTGGATCCTAAGACAATAATGTATGGCCAATAAAATCTTAGATGCAAATGGGTGGCTCCAAAAGCAAAAACTCTTAGCCAGTTAAATCATTTGTTTTTCCCTCCTCATATGCAAAGCATATGCAAAACATAAACTTATCAAAGAAGCTGAGGCTATTGGTTCTTTGTGGATCTTAAATAGCAAATCAGATCTATCATGCAAATAAAAGATCCCTCATATTTCCCTCCTAATATGCAAATCACCCTCCTAATATGCAAATCACAAGCCTATCAGACATGCGCAGATTTGGTTAACTTCTTCCTTGTCTGTGGATCCTGCAGCAAATCTGAAAGCCAATCAAACATCATATTCAAATAGATAGATCCTGGGACAAAACTCTTAGCCAATGAAATTTCTTTATTTTTCCCTCCTATATGCAAAGTATATGTATATTAGACAGGCACAGGTGCTTCTTTGTCTGCACAAGATTCTGGTGCAAAGCTTTAGCCAATCAAAACTACAGCTCATACATCCCCTAGACATGTGCCCTGGGCATGTACTATGTGTTAAAGGGATAGTTGGGTTTGGTATAGAGAGTACAGTTTTGGTCAAACTGAATTTTAGTAACCAAAACCTGCACCATTAAAAACTAATAGTTAATAACTGCACCATGCTCGACAGGTATACAAAAAATTACAAAGGACTTAGTAATAAGCCTGTTAACAATTAAAAAGAGCAGTTAAACCACATGGGAGAGTTCTCTAAAAAGTCATCGGTTTCATCCAATTTTGATAATACAATTGAGCATGTTATGTTTTGTTAAAATAATGATTAAATAGAGAGATCATCAGCAACTGCTTAAAAGCATCGGCTAGTTAAGAATTATTTAATATTTTCGAGGCCCCACAAATATAAAAAATGGTTATATTTATGGATATTTCAGCCGTCTCTGAACTGATTTTGACCAAACAAAAATGATTTTGTCATTTAAATTGTATGCTCTTTCAAATTTGACACTCAGTTTTTCATTTTCTCCACAAAAAAACAATTGTGTAGCGCCCTCTATACCAAAACTCAACTATCCCTTTAACATGTATGTTAAGACTGCATGCTTTTCTGTTTCTCACCTGTGCCCTTTTTTCTTTCATCTTTCTATTTAGTTATCTATATTAGGATTGCAATAAAAAGTATTATTTCAGTTTTAAAATCATTTTGATTCACATATAATTCTAAACCTTTTATTAAACAATGTGAGTGTATTAGCAAAATTCACAATGTGGACGTGGCAACATGATGTTAACCTTCAATATACAGGATGGCCCAGAAAAATACATCAGAGCTACCAGGTGTCATGCATTAGGCGTGACATCACGCATTTGGAGGGTCTGGAAATGCTCTCACGCACGGCGCGCGCGCTAGATTTAGAAAAAAGGCTATACCTTATACGTGTGTTATACCCTCACACGCGCGCTCGTGCGCCAAAAAATTAAAATGTCACGCATTGCCGATCTTTGAACTTGGCGTCTCTGAATACAATGGTAAACTCCCATAACATAGTGACAAAACAACTAGTTTTAATGGGTGGGAAATCTTTTACTGAGAAAAATGCTACAAGGATCAGCCATTTGGGTTTCTTCCATGATTAAATTTATGTTACTTAAATGCACCACTTTGTATGATCCCTCAAAATTGAGTTGATTTGTTAATCTTCATAGCCTTCAGGGGTGACATTCTGTAAGGAAAAATTTCAATTAAAGAGCAAGTCTTAAACTTGATCTTAATATCTACAACTTTTCAAGATAAGATCAACTCCAAAAAGTTGATCTTTAGTGTATGCACATTTATGTAAATTACCTGTCCTAAGATAAGTCGTATTCTGTAACCACATTTAGGATCAACATCCTCCTAAACTTAAAGCCACACTGTACTACTTGTAGCTACTTGCTCCCTCTATATAAAAAAACTGCCCCAATCGGTGCTTGTTGGTCCCCCATGATAAGATAACGCACACTTTAATAGTAAACAATCTAACTCGAGTAGCCAAAGCCATGCCCCAAGTTGGTTAGATTACATCTTCATGGCACAGATTAATTACCGATATTTATTATTCATGCTAAGATCATCCTAAGGCCATTTAAAAAAAAAATGTTTAGCGTCCTGCCTTTTTCAAAAATAGGAAGGAGGTGCAAATATTGCGAATATACTACCTGACATTCGGGCTATTTTCCAAGATGGCTGCCAGAATTTTTGTTTTCTTTATTTCTAATCAAAAAGTTGATCATTTTAACAGTATGATTTTCATGTTTTTATTCATTGAAGAAGAAAAAAATTATTTAAACAAAATATTCAAAATAAGATGCGGCCCTAAAAAAAGAATTCAATGGCCTAAGATCAACATAGAGAATACCAATTTTGCCAATCTTACTTCTTAGAGAGGTCTATAAAGTTGGTCTTGAGATCAACTCCTAAGATCAACTTTAGGATACCACCCCAGGACTTTGTCAGGTTTATTTACAATATGAACACAGGTTTGACAAATCTCAACAGATAAATGACTTTTTTTCATAGTACTTCAGACTGTACATTAAAACTCTCTATTTAAATACAGAATGTAAAGATTTTTAAATTACTATTCTTAGTATAGTATTTAACGTATGTATTTATAAGTCATATCTCATGTAATAATGTGTTGGTATCTGCAACCAGTGTCATTGATCCAGTGAGTCAGAATATGATATGGGAGGTGAGAAGGGAAGGGTTAGGCACTTACCCTCTGAAATGTAAAATAAATGGGGAATACAATTACTTCACTTGATCTTTCCATGCAGTCTTTTTTTAACACCACCAATATTATTTGAAAATGTATCAATTTATTAGCCTACCCAACTTCCAAATGCCTTTCTTTCATAAGAGCTATTTTTAATTGAGAGAACAAATGTCCACAGGGGCTATTTTAGGGCTGACAGGCTTTTTTGTCTTGTATTTATTTGTTCTCATTTTAGTTTTATATTTATATTTCTCAAACATATTGTAAGACATGATTAAAAACATCCTGTCCTATACTGAAGACAAACATTATCCGTCAAATTAAAAGAGCATTTTGTATGCATTGGTCTAACTAATAAATGTGATAAACACAGCAAAGGCAATTTTATAACAATTTTATTTTTTGTTCGCCCCTGTGTATTTTTTTCCTTAAGCCTTACACATCTCAAAAACCCATTGACAGATTGCCATCAAACGTTGTACACATACATGTATGTATCTTGATGAGCCAATGAACTGGTTGGATTTTTGGGCCATGAGGTCAAAGATCAAAGGGTCATACATGTATATGAAAAATAGCTTGTAATCACGATATTCTGAGAACCTGTTAATGGATTACAATCAAACTTAAATTTTAAAAATTGTATCTGTTTTGGTTTGTAAAATCACCCTATGGCGGAGGCATCATTTCCGACTGCGCGCAGTTGAAGTTCCATCTAGTTTTTTAATTTGCTCTTTTTTATGGTCATAACAGGCTTACCTGCTTCTTTTTTCACTCCTTTATGGATTGATTCATCAATTTGCTACTCTGTGTTGATTAGTAACATGTTCTATGTGTTTGGTTTGAAGATCATGTACAGATTGTTGAGCAGTGATAGTTTCTGAATTTAATTTGTTTTCCATTCTTTGGATTTGCAATGAGATGTAAGGATACTCTCAATAAACCTGTTTCTATATTTTGTTTTAATCTTTATAGGAGCGTGAGAGAGATTTCCTAGGCCAGCTTGCAGCTCTCAGTCAACTTGGTAAAGATGAGCTTAACAACATGGTTCATACAGCTATAGCAGGTATGTTTGTGACAACTGGTCTCTCTCGCCTTCTATCTCGCTCAATTGTTCAGGTTGAAAATATTTGTTATGCCTTTTCTTCTCATTTTGAATTTGTAGTTTACAATATAAATTATTTTTTGTTTACAGACTAGAGTAATCTCCTATGCCATAAAAGCCTGTGCATTTCCTATACACAGGCATTTATAGGATGCCCATATGTGTGAATATGTTGTACTACCGGTAGACAACAAGCAAGACTAGCAGAATATGTTTTGCAAATGCTGTGTAAATAGACAAAAGTGTTTGATTCAAAGCAAGGTTATTTTTGTCTCACTGAATATCCTTTTCTAATTCAAGCATTGCTTTATATGCAATGAAGGAATCAATTTTAATACCTTACTTATCCTTCACAACATGCACATCTCTTGCTTCTTATTGTTACAGAGGATGGTGGCGATGAGAATGATGCCAAGAAGCTGAGCAAGGATCTCAACAAACGAATCAAGACGGCCAAGACGAGACCAGACATGGAGCCTGGAGAGATGGAGGATGAACCGATGGAAGAGAAACCCAAGAAGAGAAAGAAGAAGAAAGGAAAAAAAACATCTCCATCAGAAGATTCATATTGAGAATATTGATAAACAATGATGGAAACATGGAGGAAGACTTGGTGAAGGAGAGAATCTAAAGAAGAACTTAGAAGTCAAAGAAAAGAAAGGAATATATGAATTTAAAAAAAAACTGTTGAGACAGAAATTTTGAAAATTGTGAAAGTCTGGGGAAAGGGTAATGAGTCCTATAAAACATCGCATTTGAACCTCAAAAAGAGAAGAAGAAAAAAATTTATGTGTTTCTTATCATCTTGGGATATATATCATGAATTTGTAATTAGGTGTTCAAATTAAATCATGATTGACAATGTATTTGCTTCTGGGGAAAACAAACAAACAAACAAACAAAATAAAACAACAGCAAAAAGTCTTGCCCTGTCTTGCTAGTGTAAGCAGTCTTGGATGTGTTTGAGAAGTGATCCCTATGAGTGTATTTCATTAACTTATTAAATTATTGCAGACTCCACTATATTTGTACATGTATGAAATGATGACATTTCTAAAGTAACCTGTCCCCAAGAAGTGGGTTCCATCAACCAAACCAAAGCTTGAAAATTCACCTTGAGAAATATTTATGTAAATAATTATGCACCTTGATCTTTGTAAATAATGTAATTAGTGAACAAATTTTATGTATGTAATGTAAAGCTCTTTGAGTGGATCTGAAATATAGGTATTTTATGTAAAGAAACTTTGAACAACTATTTGTTGTGTGTGCCATGTTGTCTTTCAGATGAAAATTAATGAAGCTTTTTGCATTTCATTGTTCTTAAGTTTCTCAGTAGACATCGACTCTTATGGTTTTATGTATATGTTTTATATAAAATGTCCATATAATTGAACTGGCATTACAAGGTAAGTGATGAAGAAATAGTTTGATGCAAGAATCATGACTGTTCTTTACAATTCTCAGGATCAATGTCTTGTTTGTGTGATATAGAATATATTTTAAGTAAATGATAATTTAATGTATGTGTACACAACATGTACAAAGAATAAAATTTACCATAGAGGCTTCATAATGTCTAATTTTTGCTTCAATTTGCAAACGATGTTCACTTCTGTGTTGAGAGAATGTATATTTTTCTTAATATAAAATAATTTTATGGTGAAGTTTCCCCAACTCTCTTGTAAAATTGGTAAATCTCAAGAAATATACATTTGAAAAAAAAATGTAACCTGACCTTGTGAAACTATATTTTTTGTAAAATGCATATTTCCTTATTTTATGGCTTAACAATGCAAATATGGTGTAAATGTTCTATTGACAGTTTTTTTAAATCTTAAATAAACAAAAATGATAAGGAATTATTTAAAGACATCTCTTTTGTGTATCTGGTAATTGTGAAATTATATACAAATAAACAGAAAATACAAATTTTTATTTTTAATTTTAAACCGATACATAACACATGTGTATATAGTGTTGATGTAGCAGTGTGTGTCATCAGGGATTTATCTTCCCATTTTATATTGTATAAACTTTTAGCGTAATATGTATATTTATTTTGTAATGTAAAATATGTGTTGTAGCATTGGAAATAAATTATGTGCTGAAGTATATTCAGAATCTTTATTACTTCTTATTATAATACACTGGACAGAAAAGAGAGACTGGATAACAACTATGAAATATTTTGGAGCATTGGAGGGAGAGAGAGGGTGGAGATAAGGAGAGTAAGAGAGAGAGAGAGAGAGAGAGAGAGAGAGGGGGGGGGGGGAGGGGAGGAGATATCAAAGGAGGAGAGAGAGAGAGAGAGGGGGGGGGATTGGAGGAGATATCAAAGGAGGAGAGAGAGAGAGAGAGAGAGAGGGGGGGGGGGATTGGAGGAGATATCAAAGGAGGAGAGAGAGAGGGGGGGGGGGGATTGGAGGAGATATCAAAGGAGGAGAGAGAGAGAGAGAGAGGGGGGGATTGGAGGAGATATCAAAGGAGGAGAGAGAGAGAGAGAGAGAGGGGGGGGATTGGAGGAGATATCAAAGGAGGAGAGAGAGAGAGAGAGAGAGAGAGAGGGGGGGGGGTTGGAGGAGATATCAAAGGAGGAGAGAGAGAGGGGGGGGGGGATTGGAGGAGATATCAAAGGAGGAGAGAGAGAGAGAGAGAGAGGGGGGGATTGGAGGAGATATCAAAGGAGGAGAGAGAGAGAGAGAGAGAGAGGGGGGGGGATTGGAGGAGATATCAAAGGAGGAGAGAGAGAGAGAGAGAGAGAGAGGGGGGGGGGGATTGGAGGAGATATCAAAGGAGGAGAGAGAGAGGGGGGGGGGGATTGGAGGAGATATCAAAGGAGGAGAGAGAGAGAGAGAGAGAGAGAGAGAGAGAGGGGGGGGGGGATTGGAGGAGATATCAAAGGAGGAGAGAGAGAGAGAGAGAGAGAGGGGGGGGGATTGGAGGAGATATCAAAGGAGGAGAGAGAGAGAGGGGGGGGGATTGGAGGAGATATCAAAGGAGGAGAGAGAGAGAGAGAGGAGGAGAGAGAGGATTGGAGGAGATATCAAAGGAGGAGAGAGAGAGAGAGAGAGAGGGGGGGATTGGAGGAGATATCAAAGGAGGAGAGAGAGAGGGGGGGGTTGGAGGAGATATCAAAGGAGGAGAGAGAGAGAGAGAGGGGGGGGGGGGGATATGGATATCAAAGGAGGAGAGAGAGAGAGAGATTGGAGGAGATATCAAAGGAGGAGAGAGAGAGAGAGAGAGAGGGGGGATTGGAGGAGATATCAAAGGAGGAGAGAGAGAGAGAGAGAGAGAGAGGGGGGGGGGATTGGAGGAGATATCAAAGGAGGAGAGAGAGAGGGGGGGGGGGATTGGATGAGATATCAAAGGAGGAGAGAGAGAGAGAGAGAGAGAGGGGGGGGGGGATTGGAGGAGATATCAAAGGAGGAGAGAGAGAGAGAGAGAGGGGGGGGATTGGAGGAGATATCAAAGGAGGAGAGAGAGAGGGGGGGGGGATTGGAGGAGATATCAAAGGAGGAGAGAGAGAGAGAGAGAGAGAGAGGGGGGGGGGGATTGGAGGAGATATCAAAGGAGGAGAGAGAGAGAGAGAGAGAGGGGGGGGGGGATTGGAGGAGATATCAAAGGAGGAGAGAGAGAGAGAGAGAGAGAGGGGGGGGGATTGGAGGAGATATCAAAGGAGGAGAGAGAGAGAGAGAGAGAGAGAGGGGGGGGGGGATTGGAGGAGATATCAAAGGAGGAGAGAGAGAGAGAGAGAGAGAGAGAGGGGGGGATTGGAGGAGATATCAAAGGAGGAGAGAGAGAGGGGGGGATTGGAGGAGATATCAAAGGAGGAGAGAGAGAGGGGGGGATTGGAGGAGATATCAAAGGAGGAGAGAGAGAGAGAGGGGGGATTGGAGGAAATATCAAAGGAGGAGAGAGAGAGAGAGAGAGAGAGAGGAGGGGGGGGGGATTGGAGGAGATATCAAAGGAGGAGAGAGAGAGAGAGAGAGGGGGGGGGGGGGATTGGAGGAGATATCAAAGGAGGAGAGAGAGGGGGGGGGGATTGGAGGAAATATCAAAGGAGGAGAGAGAGAGAGAGAGAGAGAGAGGGGGGGGGGATTGGAGGAGATATCAAAGGAGGAGAGAGAGAGAGAGAGGGGGGGGGGTTGGAGGAGATATCAAAGGAGGAGAGAGAGAGGGGGGGGGATTGGAGGAGATATCAAAGGAGGAGAGAGAGAGAGAGAGAGAGAGAGGGGGGGGGATTGGAGGAAATATCAAAGGAGGAGAGAGAGAGAGAGAGAGAGAGGGGGGGATTGGAGGAGATATCAAAGGAGGAGAGAGAGAGAGAGAGAGGGGGGGGGGGGATTGGAGGAGATATCAAAGGAGGAGAGAGAGAGGGGGGGGATTGGAGGAGATATCAAAGGAGGAGAGAGAGAGAGAGAGAGAGAGAGGGTGTGAGGATAGATGGGAAATCAGAAATGCATGAATAGGTGTGTGATAAAGGGACATACAGTTTTAATAGAAGATATGAATTTGAGAGAGAGAGAGAGAGAAGGGGGAGGGGGGGGGGGGCAAGGGAAAAGGGTGAACATAAAGGAAACATCCTACATGTAAGTACCATTTATTTGATGAAGGCATATAGAAACTAAAAGGAGATATGCAACAGATGTTTTTTATTATTATTTTTTTTTATTCTTAAGATTTAGTTTGTACGGTGTTTCTTTCTATTTTCCTCACTATTTCTTTCTTGTATATCATTCATTTCCTCTATATATTGTATTTCTTGGTACCACCAACCCACTTCTACTCACCCCACACATAGATTTGCATGTAATATCTATATATGTTTTTGTATGTGTTATTGTTTAATTTAAAAAAAAAAAATATTGTATTTTGATATTGTAATTTTAAGCAGGGGATGATCCCCGATAAACCTCTGTGGTTTTTGATCACCCCCTCTGCAGGTTCATCTTTTGTTGTAATGCCCTTATATTTGATTGTAATTTATACTGTCTTTTATGAATCTGTGGAAATAATTAAATTGAAATTGAAATTTTTTAGTAATTAGGAAATATGACTCTAATAATTAGTGATGCACATAAAACAAACTAATTATGATGTGGTTGGTGATGATGATTATGATTTATACTAGTTCAGATACAATTTGAAACCATACTCTATAAGAAATCAACAAGCAAAATGAAGTTTCCTCTCTTCACATGCATTTATGCACTTGATATTTTATTTATAATACAGCACATCAAAATGTATTTTTTTTCTAGACATTTAAATTTCATTGACATATCCTTTTATACATCTATATGTACACATAGTACACTTCTCAATATTTCAAGACATTTACAAGGTAAAACAACAAACACATTGCTGTATTACATACATAAAATTCACTACCGTAATATAATACAATTATTTCATCATTTTAAAATAAGGCAACACACTTGTAAAGAATATCGACAATTTACATGTTTCTCTGTCATGTAAATATTTGCGTAATCTATGATAATTCAAAAGAAAATTGAAATTCATCTCCTTTTAATTTTCATAAAAATCTACAAAGATAAAAACTGCAATGTAATACAGTGTTGGATCAATCAAATACAGAATTACAAACAATCAAATCATGAATGGAAGAATAAAAAAGAACAAATAATGCATTACATTCAGAGAGAGAGAGAGAGAGAGAGAGAGGGAGAGAGAGAGAGAAAGAGAGAGAGAGATAGGGAGAGAGAGAGAGAGAGAGAGAGAGAGAGAGAGAGAGAGAGGGAGAAGAAGCGAGGGAAGAGACGGATAGAGACAGGCAAACAGGAAGGAGCAAGAACGATATGTGTTGACGATTAAAAACTAAAACATAAATATGGAAAGACATACTATTTAATGACAAATTGTCAATGAGAAAAAAATGAAAGAAGAAATGAGCAGAACAGAGCAGAAGATCAATGAATCCCAGAAACTGTGTCCAGTTGTACCATGAACTAAAATCTCTAAATCAATGCAGAATAATTTAAAAAAAATGAGAGGTACATGTATGGGAAGACTAGACAAATAATAATTACTTTATAGAAAAAACTGAATTAATAATTTCCTCACTAAAAATCACTTGTAGTACAAACTTTTTGCTTTGATTAAGTCACAGATCATTTCTGAATGCTCTTCTCCCCTCAGCACATAATAAATCTTGAAAATAGGTATCTACATCTAAATATATCTGTTATTACGGTCAGCCATTTTGAATCCAAATTTACTATTTGCTTCTTGGTAAAGGTGAAATGTATGTTGGAAATCAAACTCAATAGGGTATTGCCTTCTAAAATCTTCTAATAGCTTATGGATGAGATCTTTAATTCAGACAAAAGTTTCCCAACTTACAATGTACAGAGCCTAAATCTAGAGGAATGGTAATGAGGAATAAGAACTGTCATCATATGATTGGACCATCTTGGGTTTCATACATGCACCTGGAAGCTATCACATGCGCCATTAAACACCATTTATTTCATCCAGCTGATCACTTTGAGATGCACTTCTTATCAAATTTCAACCATTCACAATCCATTGATGTACAAACAATAAACACAACTTTGGTATCAGCTTCTTGTAATGTTTGTACTGCTCTTACATGAATTTCAACACAAAAAACTTTAAATCGAATAAACAGCCATGTGCCCACGACAATCACTGCTACAAGTAAAAAAAATACCTGTAAGATAATTTGGCTGTTTCCCTCCTTAACCTTATACTTGCTTTGATCGACTATTGAAACAAGTGGTGGATCACCACAGACAACGTTTGTCACACATACAATGTACATGTATAATATACTCCACACATTGTAGCAATCTAGAGTTTCAATCTGCAGCATAGAAAGAGTTAACCTATTACAACAGATGCAAGAGTGTGTGCACATGTGTAGGGAGAGAGCAGGGGTGTTTCACAAAACTTGTCATCAGTGAAAAATGACAGTTTTTGTTATAAGCTAGTGAAATCCATGATTCTTATTGGTTATCAGCAGATTTGTCACTGATTTTTGTCATCTGTCATTGAAAAAAGGCTTTGTGAAACACCACCCTAGTGTTTTTTATTTGTTTTTATCTCTTTTCCTACTGCTACAAAAAAGAAGACTAGAAAGAATTTCAGATAGAACAGACACCTGAGATGAAATTAATGAAATTCACGTCAAATTCACACTAAACTTATTACATGTCAATAGATCTGGAAATTGTACAAAGTTGTGTATATACACATATACAATTTGGTTGGCATGTACAATACACTTCCTCTCTTTATATTAATAATTTACACTTTTTACATATCAAAATAAATGCACAAAATAAATTCACTTGAAAGGAAAAATGGAATGGAATTGAGAGGCACACACTAAAGAATCTCCAACGATACAGGCAGATATTATGCAAGAAAAGCAAATAAATACAATGAAATCTCAAAAGTTACTTGTTATAAACATTACATTGCTAAGAGAAATAAAAGCACTTGGGCAAGAAGCTTGGTAGAAACCTTTCAAAAACTTACAAAAAATCTTCTTTTCCCTCTTTTTTTTTTACTGGAGGAATTACAGGGAAAGCAGAGTTATTTAAAATGCAACAATACATTTGAAAGGGAAATTTGTGCATAACAGCTTTAGGACAGATGAATACCATTCAACAATAGGAACACATCACCTACAACTTGTATTACCAGCAAAACTCTCCCTCTATATATACATTTGAAGAATTATGTTTACATTTAAAAAATGCCATCTTTATGTCTTTTAGAGCATTACAGCCAGAAGGACTTTAGTTCCTGAATACATGTAAGGCCTTTCTACCTCTCAACAAACATTAAAAACACAGATAATTTGGCACTTCATTGTTCGGTGAAGTTAATCTCAGTGGGGAATCCAATTTGATCCGAATGTTCTTCTGTATCTTTGGTTTATCTTGGTCCTTTGATTTGTCAGGAATGCTTGAAAACAGTTTGAGTTTAATAACACCCTTCTGGCTCTCAACAGAGGATACTATTGCATACTGGTAGCTACGTCATACTAGTGGTGCAATTAAACTCATCTGGAGAGCGTTTCACAAAGACTAAGATTGACTTAGGTTGGACTTGAACTATGGCAGGCCGTTTATGCCACTGGTTGCTCTCACTATTCCTGGCATTTGTCTCTCTAAGGATGTACAAATTGTGGTCACAAATCTACAGAATTTACATTTTTGATAGTTCATTATTGAAGGAAAAAATCATGTACAGATCATAATTTATAAGGTTTATAAGTCCAAGTATTAAATATTACATAAGTTTACAATGTAAGTAACCTTTTTTCATCAACAATGAACTATCAAAAATGTAAATTCTGTAGATTTGTAGATAACGTCCCTTGAGAGAACAATGGTATGAATGGCCTGCCATAGTTCCAAGTCCAACTTAAGTTAATCTTAGTCTTTGTGAAACACCCCCCTGGAGTTGGTGCCCTATAGGTGGTCCTACATATTACATGTATATGTGATGAGAAACTACTTGTGAGTACAACATATATACCTGAATTGTTTTCTGGCTTATGAAATAAAAATTAGTCAGTAAAATTCTTTGGCATTTTGTATGCAAGGTCTAAAAAATGAGTAACACCAGTTGGCTGTTTGAACTATTACAATGACAGACATCTCTTGTAAAATCCTTGATTGATAGATTTGAAAGAACGAAAATCAAATGTTGAAGAACTGTCTCAGTTTAAACATTTCACCATTTAGGACCTCATCCAAAAGTTGTACAAAAAATATACCATAATTAAATTATTAAAAAAAACAAAAAGAAAAAAAACAAAAATCATTTAGGTGATGATGGATAATCATCAGTGCATTTTGTTCTTGCTAGTCATCTGTATTCATGTGTGATTCTAATAGTACATTTAAAATAATGGATCAATAAAACAACACAGTTTGTATTGTTATCATGTATTTCTCTCTGCCTGTCTGCCTATCTCAAGGTACTAATCTAACAATACTAGTTACATTTCTCTGCTTCTATACAAAGGCAAGCACTGGATATTTTACTCTACTAATGTTACTATGCTGTGTATGCTGTGAGCTACTACTCCTGGCTGTCCTTCAATCAGCTTCCTGGAAAGGGTTTTCCCTTCACCTTATCACTCAGTTTCTGCAAGAAATTGAAAAGAAAAACAGTATGTCAACTACATTGCCCATGAAACAATCTGAATCAAAATCAGTACTCTTTATATGGAATGGAGGTACAGAGAAACAAATAATATAAAGTTGTCCGGAGTCTATTGATCTTGCCACTTTAGGAATTTGTCAATGGAGGAATATTCTCAATACCGGTAGTTATAAGACAGCATCTAATTAAGATACTCTACCAGAACACCTTCCATACGGTATGTATTAAAGAATGCTCTTGCTTTTAAATGGTGTAAAGGTACATTCTCATGCATTGGAACTTACCTTGCGATACATCTGAGCTCTGATCCTATTCAGATTTGAATCTTGAGCTTTCTTCTTCTCCTTCTCTTTCTGTTTCACTTCAGGGAGACGGTTGTATAACCTGAAGGATCAAATAGAAGAAAAAAAATGTTTAGAATGGATACTTCTAGCTCTTTACACTACAAAATGAAAACTCAGTACAAAAGGTAACTGAAAAGCAATATTATGGATGGTGACAGTGGTATGAATTACCTTTGAAATTCCTCCTCATGTTGTAATGATTTTTATTAATTTAGGGTAATTTATATGGAATTATATACTAAGATAATGTCGAACCATGTTAGAACATTGATCTTTTCCCCTTATTTACTGTTCAATATTTTCATACCATTCATATTTTCTAAAAACGTTAACTTTCTCTGTGTTTGGGATTGTTTTTAACACTGTTCAATATTCTTACGCATCATACACTTTATAAAATTACAAAATTAAAAATAATTGGCATGATACGAATCACTTCAGGGGGTCTTTCACAAAGATCCTAAGTTGAAGTTATCTCTAAGTTGTACTTAACAATTATGGAAAGCCGTTAGCATCTATGAAAATATTTGTAAAAGTTATTTTAAAAAGAAAATCATAAAATGTTGATTAAAATCATTCATATTTTCTATCATCAAGGAGAGTTCATGTTCTTGATGTGGAATTTATAAAAAAAAAAATTAAATACTCCTATTTTTTGCTTCTGAATATATTTTATTTTAAGGCTACAAATGGCTCTCCATAATGTTCAAGTCCAACTTAGAGCTAAGTTCGACTTAAAATCTTTGTGAAACACCCCCCTGGAATGATTAGATCTAGTACTTACTTCTCTGTATGTTCTTTCATCTGTTTCTTAGACATTGCCCTCTTCTTTGGTTTGTGCAGTTGATCTGTAACATGGAAAAACATAATAGAACCATATTATGCACTGAATATCAAATCTAAAAAGAATATTGTAAATACCATTTGGTGTGTAAGATTTGTTTATAGTAAGCAATGACATGGAAATCTTTCTGAAGCAATATTACAAATGAAATGCAATGAGTAGGTAACATGTTACATCAAGCTGCAGGCTGAGCTTCCATTTACATGTATATGTACTAAAGGATTGTTCCAACTGTGTTTTCCTTAGAAAATTTGATACAAAATACATTGCCATTCGATTAAATAGTTGCCTTGAAGATGAACATTTTATAATATTTCTTTCTCTTTCATTACATGACTTTTAGAGGTAATAGAGAGTGATTTAAAATCCTACCAATGTCGTTCCAGGTTGATAAACTGATGTCTCATATGCAAATACTTGCTTCATTTCATAATTGTGTATAATCTCTTAAGAATGGACAATAATCCAACACATTATCTGTGAAGCACTTAGTTTGAAGAAAAAAAGCGTGAAGTTGTAAAACCTAAAGATTGTTGACTCACCACTGAGGGGATGTGCATTGGGATTCGGTTTCTTGCTTCGCTGATCAGCGAAAATTTGCGCCCTCTCTAGTTCAAACTGTGCCTGTGTGTGACGCTCCTCTGCAGCAAGCCTCATCTTTCGTTGCCTTTCACGAGACTTGGAAATAAAGTCACTGCGATGCTTCTCAAATGCGACCTGTAGGTTGAAAGAGAACATCCAAAGCCATTCTTGTGTAACAATTATTAATTTCTACAAAATTTCCTTGCAAATTGATACAAAATAACATGCAAACTGCATTAAAAAAATAACAGACTGTCTCATCCAAAAATGTATAAAGTCCCAACAAGAGGACTTCCAAAACCATAACTTAAAAAAATATTACTTTGTTTGTTTTGATTTTTTAAAACAGAATTGACTGTTATAACTTATTAATCATGACAGTATCAATAGCGAATATAACGTACCTGCAGAGATGCCTTGTCACCAGGCTTAGGGGCGGTCTCTTCATTGTTAACAGGAAAGCTCATTGGTTGAGGCTTGGCCTTGGTGGGTGTTTCCTGTTGCCATGGCATCTTCTTAGCTATTGGTTGAAACCATGCAACAGGTTGTACAATCTTCTTAGGGATTCTGCTCAGAGAGTGGATAAAAGAAACAGAGAAAACATTGACCAAAAATTACTCTAGCCTTCAGAATGATTCTTGCATAACAATACAAAAAGGGTTAAAAAAGGCACTATTAAACTTCAATTATATCACTTTCATACACAAGCAAAGTTGCAATTTGTAAATTTGAAGACAGGTAATGTGTAATTTACCTGTATGTACATGTGCAAATGGTTCTCTTTTAAAAAGAGGGTAATTCACCAACTTTTCCCCCCACAATGTTTAATTATTGATATATGCTATTCTCCGACTTATTTCATTTCAAAGTCCATTGCTCATACAAAAGAAGTAAAGATTCAAGTTTTAATGTCCATAAATTGCTATTATATACCTGTCCCCCTCCCATTACGCAACCACTATACCATCATGTTAGAGATAAATACAATTTCATGTCATCAATCAAAATCCTACCTTGAAGGAGCTTCATTCTCCTTTGCTTGTATCTGCTTAGCAGCTATCCTCTCACTCCTTCTCCTCCTCCTCTCTTCATCTTCCTCTTCAACATCTTTGTTACTGTAATTCTGCTTTCCTGTCAACACTGTATCCTTTCCGTTCTCTCTGTCACCTCGCCCAACGTCAATCACGAATGCTGTACCTGGTTTCACCTTCTGAGGCTTATCCTGCGCTGATCCTGCAGCATTGGTTCCATTCCTGGAGGAAGGGTCGGAGTCCCTGACAGGGATCCGTGACGACGAACCTTTGGAAGGTTTCTTGAAGACTTCATCTCTCTCCGTGTCTGGTTTATCTTCTTTGCTCATTTTGTCCGTGGCATGTTCCCTAGCTCTGCTTGTAAAGCCATGTATGGAATGGGAACGCTTTGGCTTACAGGCACACGGGACGCTGGTATCAGATCCAGCATCGCTGAATGAATCTGTGTTGTACGTCACGCCAAAGTCATCATGATGAGCAAAGTCTTTCCTCCTCTTCACTGTTTGTCCATCGTCTACGACCCTTCCTTGCCTGGTGATCTTCCTGTCTGGAACGGAAGCCTCTGTTGAAGTACTCTCTGTAGTGTCGAAGACAGAGTCCTCAGTCGATCGGAAGGATGCTTCCTGGACTGGACTCAAGGAAGGCTCAAGAGACGTCTGCTTCCCAACACGTAGGTTTGCACCAGCAGTATCAGAAACCTCCTCCATGGTCCCAGACGTTGCTGTTGACGATAGATCATCCACTGCTGGTGTACTGGAAACGGGAACATCCTGACGATGTGCTTTCGTCTTTGTGGACTGTTTGTCTCTGCTCTGCTCTTCTGTGCGTTTCCTATGGTGTTCACGTTGCCTATCAATCTTCCGTTGTAGCTTAACCAGCTTAGAGCTCAACTTGCGGATTCCATCTGGTCCAAGGAGCTCTAGCAATCTATCTGACTCAAGACTCATATCCGTCAATAATGTCTCCTCAGTTGCCGTAAGCACACTGGATAATGCTTCCTGGGTGATATTGTCTCCCAGAGGTGATTCTATCGGCTCTTGTTCAGGAGAGCGTTTTGAGGAATGTTTTTCATCTCTTCTCTTTCTCTTGTCCTGCTGATGGCCATTTTGTTGAGTAGTCACCCTTGGTATCCTAGACTCTTTTGTGGGTGATTTTTGGACTATGGCTGCAATTTCTTCTGGTGATACCCTACGCTGGAACCTAGATTATAAAGAGAATGAAACGAAAGACAATCATTTCATCATATTTTTACCGTACTGCACAACATAAGAATTCGAAAAGTTTCAAACGATATTGTTAACCAGTCTCAGGGTATTATGTAATTAATACAGTTCAAACTTTCAGACTTCATCTGTGTAATAGTATGATAAAGAGGAATGACTTACTCTCCATTTCTGGCCATCTTATCAGGAGATTGTTCCCTTGGTGTGAAGCCTTGTTGGTCTCTCACCCACTTTCTTCTCTGTCTAGGTGTAGAAGAATCCGTCAGGGTAGTACTACTGCTGTCACGACTATCCGTCTCATCTAGAACACAAATAATGAAGAAAGTCATGATTAGATTACTTTCTTTTATAGTTTTCAAAAAAGCACACAAACAAAACAAGACAATGAAAATTCATAAATCAGGCATCATCATCATCAACATCATAATAATAATAATAATAATAATAATAATAATAATAATAATAGTGAACATTTATAATGTGCAATGTCTGTCAAAAATGACACTCCTGGCGCAGTTGTGTGGAACTTGTATAATTGTGGGCATACGACCATCAAGTAATTCAAGAAAGAAAGTAAAATACACATAGGTTAAAGTTTAACATACTTCAGGACATAATCAACCATCATCATTTAACTTTTTGTCCATGTTGTGTGGTTGGACAATTCATTCCCTTCTCAAAGCCTTCTGGACTTTAGAACAGTATTTAATATCTTGGCTAAATATGGAATGCACTCTAGTATATTCATCATGATTCGTCATCGAAAACTTCATAATCGGCTAGGCTTCATTATTCAAGGAGATGTCATGATAGAGGTGAAGACAGGTTAATTCATAATGCTGACATGTACAGTTCCCCTCCCCTCCCCCTTTCATACATAAATTATCAACCTTTGTCCACGCCTACATCGAGGTCTCAATTATAATAAACCGATCAATGTTTTACCTCCGACAAAATGTTGCACAGTATGCTGGACTGGGTCTTGGACTAGATGGGCAAGCCTGTTGACTCTCCTAGAATCTAGACTAGAGAGGTCAGACTCATCCTGACCCTTGACCTCTCTCCTAGCCTCTCTCCTGGCCTCCTTCTGCTGCTGTAAGCGTTGGTATTGATCCCACATTATGGATGCTTCACGGTAGAGGGGATCCGATTCATCCTGGAAGACATGAATATAAAGAAGGCAATGGTAATGGTAACAAAATAAGTGATTTTTCTGGGCTTGTGGTTTCCTGGTCAATCATCAAGGCTTGAATTAAATAACCTACATGTACATAAACCTCCTATTCCAATGCATCAAATTCAATTAAATACTTGATGGCTAAATAGATAACCCGTTTTCAATGCTGACGTTCATGGTGGTACTGATGCTAAATCACAGGGTAGGCCTTTTACAAATGCCAATGCAGACAAGTACATGTATCTATTGATATTTCCACGTGTGAAATGCTGATCAAAAGGCAGATGGTTACAATCTCTATCAGGTAGCATTTATCTTTAATAGTCATACAACCAAAATGTGGTCATTCCCTTATTGCTGTAAGCACGTACATGCAAGTACAGTCAAACCTGCTTCAATGACCACCTGTCTACAAAGGCCACATTTCTTGTTTCCCTTGAAAATGGTTTCTCATTGAAACATGTACTTAAGGAACCTGTCTACAAAGAGCACTTTTTGTGTTTCCCTTAGGCGGTCGCTATAGACAGGTTTGACTGTACCAGTTTCTTGAGAAGCTTCAATGAGAATATATGCTTACCTGCAGGATGTCTTCAAGCACTTGTCTGCTGTAGGTTCCTGGTAGCTGAGGAACTTCACGTTGCCCATACTCCTGATACTGTCTATCAGTGTACTCTGGCCTCCGTCTCTCCGCCCTCTCTGCACCTACTGGCATGTATCTCAGTGGTGGCTGCTCTGAACCTGGCCTGAACCTTGGAATCTTTGTTGGTGAGGTCGCGTCGGTAGTTGAAGCAGGAGGGGGGATCGGAGCCATGCCACCGGGGATGCCATACTGTTGTCTGTACTGGGCGTCCTGAGGGTAAGCCCCTCTGTAGTCCATTGGTTGACTCTGTCTTGATGGATCCCAGCTAAGTGGTCTAGGCTGAGATCTGTATCCAAATCTTTCCCTAGGGTCTTGTCCACCGATTCCTCCTTGCTCTAAGGTTGCTCTGTCTCTGACAGGGTGTCCTGTAATTGATCCATCCCTTGCCTGCATCCCTCCTGTCTCCATCTGAAAAGCTTGTCTTTGGTTGTAAGGCATCTGCCCATAGGGTACTGGTTCTGGAGGGGATTTTGAGTGTTCTCGCTTCACCCCTGATGTCCTTGATCTTCCTGGCTTGTGTTGAGGACTTAGTGATATCTGTCGCCCAACTTTCTCCTTCTCCCGCACCTGTTCCTGTCTGCTGCTATCGCTCAACGACCTCCTGTAGCTCCTCCCTCCTTTGTGATCATCCACATACAGGCCCTGTTCGCGGCTTCTCTCATGTGGACTCCTTACAGGTGAAGTCTGTCCTCTGTCGTATCTAGGAATCTTGGAGGTATGTGGCGAATCTTGATTAGGTCTGCTGCCGTATGCATCAACGGGGAAATTAGGTGCGTTTGCGTCATTAGATCCTGTCAAAAAAATAATGCAATGACATAAATTAAATGATCTAGTTACATCATTTGAAGTCTTACTCTCTCTCATAAAGATAAACTTGAGTTCTGGTAAATAAAGAGTATAAATTCTCATAGAATCCAACAAAGCTTTCACTGAACATTCAAGATTAAAAGTAAATGACATGTGCCAATCAATTTTGGTAGAAAATGTATAGTGGCTGAATAATGAGCATAGAAAGATAAGGAAATCTAGGTTAGAATGCCTTACACCATGTGCTTAACACAGGTCACTATGTGCAAGATAAACAATCCAGCATAAATCATAGCAATTTTCTCTCAAAATATGATTCCCATACCAGAGCTCAAGATTAGCTTTAAAGACTCTTATATAATTAGTACATCTTTCGTATTTCGTAATCTTTTTTATCAGATAAGACGTTTAATAGGCGACAATGAATCTAAAGCAATTCACATAAATATACCGTGTAAATATTGTATAAAACAATATCCACTTTATAACATCACATGAGAATTACTGCAAAAATCTTTCTCCCTCTTAACCATCTTTGAAATACTAAAGGCTACCCTAAATCTCATTATAAAAGAAACAAACTAAAAGCTAAAATTTTTGTAAACGTCACCAACACTTTAAAGGTAATACAAAGTTTTGGTATGGGGTCATGAATTTGGTTCAAATGAACATATTGGAAGCATATGCGATCCGTCAATATTCAGTGATCGTTGCCGGGGTTGAAATCGAGTCTAAAGTTATAAAATTGTCAATAAACTCTTTATGTTGTATAGCTCCCTCTCAAGGTCAATATATTAATTAAGCTATTAAAACAATATTTCTTGACTTAAATCGACCGATTAGCTATTCCCGTTTGGAAATTATATATCACAACTACATATTCTGAGATTTGCATGATCGCAGCTACCATTGTACGGCCATAGGCGCTACTTGAAATTTATTAAAATTTACTGGGAGCACCGGTAAATTTTTATATTCCATTTTTCTCGAAAACAGAAGTGTTTTAGGGGCTAAAAATGTGTGTGCTTAAAATACATCCACAGGGGCATCCAAATGTATCAAAATTGTAAAGAATCACTATCCACCAAATTTTCAAAATTTACCAAAACTTTGTATTACCTTTAATCATTTTACAGATAATACAAGTAAAATTGTAGATTACTCACCAGCATGTGAGCTCTCTAGAGTTGATACACTTCTAGATGGAGATCCATCCTGAACAGTCGGTCCATCGATAGGGTAGGTATAGATCACATCTGAACTTCCTGGAGGTCTGTATGGCTTCAGGAAGCCTTCAGTGGCAGAAGAATCTTTGCCAAAACTTTGTCTTTGCTCCGTTCTTGGACTTGTCTCTGGCCTCGTGGTTGGACTTCCACCAGATCTTGATTTGGAGAGTGATCTCGGCCAGCTATTGGTGCTGTAATCTGGATGAACCTGTCGATGCTGCTGCTGCGATGGAAGGTGTTGGGGTGTCTGGGAGGAGGGTGGACTACGGTATTCCTGCTGTCTTTCTTGAGGATACTGTTGTCCTTGCTTTGTATGACCATGTGAAAGAACAGGTAGTTTACTGCCTGGTAATCTAGATGTTTGCTGCTGCTGATGGTCTTGGAACTGGTTTGTTCTTCCCCAAGTTCCTGATCTCTGAGGAGATGATGAAGACGTCGCCTTTGCTCCTGGAAATGACTTCTTTTCCACTTTCATGTCCGGTGAAGAGTTGGACCTCTGCATTGCAAATAAGCTGTCATCCATGACCTGACTGTCTTGACCTGGAGGCATATTGTCATTCTCAGGTTGGTATTTACCACTAGACTGATATCGAGGATACAGCTGCCGAGGATCACCCTGCCAGGACTTTGGCCTTGCTGGTGAATCTACCGACTGAAGAACTTGGAACTCATCTGTACTTTGGTCATGGGGCATTTGTAAGTGTGACGGGATCTGTTCAGGTAAGAGTCCATAGAAGACCTGGTCTGTAGATATTGGCTTGCCGAGGGAACCAGAGGATTGGGTCTGGAAGTCATGTTCAGATAGCTGCTGTGATGGATTCTGAGTTAGGGTATCGTATTCAACCCTGTTCACAATCATGTTGGCATTGTTGTCGTGTCTGAACGGGGTTCTTGTATCAACACTATGGTCAAATGTTTTTTCTTCTAAACGTTGCAAATGAAGAGTCAGCATGTCCCTTGCTCTATCAAACGCACCAAACGGTCTCTGTGTTGCATCTGTAGTTAAAGGATCTTCAAACTCTCTTGATGAAGATATCCTTTGGGGCTTTGCAGATGAATATTTGCTATCAAGAGATGAATTGGATAGATTCCTCTCATAAACCAAAGGATCACCTGTACTAAGAGCTTCTGAAATGATACGGTCTACTCGCTCTCCTGGTGCCTCTCTTCCAAGGATTGCTTGAACCCGTAAAGCTAGAGAATCGGTACTTGCGACAGAGTTGTCTTTAGCAGATGTGGATCTGCCAATAGCAACTCTGGTGGATGACATTCTAGAGTTTGGGGATGACCTAGGTGAACCTTGCAATTGTGAATTTGATCTTGACTCACTGATTTTCTTCTCTAGCTCAGCAATTTGGACCAGAGCTAGTAAATCCTCTCTTGACAACCTCTCACTGGCAACATCAGGTTGGTGGGTAAGAGTATCATCGGCAAGACTGAGAAGCTGCTGTACTCTTTGTGACAGGGAGTCATTAGTAAGTGTACTTGATGAGGACTGGCTTGTGTTGCCTGACCTAGCAGCGTTCTGTGAACGATTAGCCTGGAATGTATCCTGGAATGTAACTTTGGTGCTTTCCTGAAGTCCACCGCTAGACCCTAATGGTACAGTGGTACTACCTGACAGAGAATGAGAGGGAGACATGTAGGCTTCTTGAGGTCTTACAACACTATCATCGCTCTCACTACCTGTTCTAGAGTGCCTGACTACTCTGTTAACAATATCCCTTACAGAACTTGATGTGCTTGCTTCTGATAATGTAGGGGACCTTCTGCCCATCTCTGCCTGAATGCTTAGCAGTTGTTGTGGAGAAATCCCTGCTGTGTGAAGTTTGCGCATACTCTCAGATTCTTGGAGCAGTCTTTTGACATGCTCAGCCAGGGAGTCTGCATTAGAGCTTCCACTGGACTCTGATCTTGATGGAGGAGGTAGGGACTGTCCATCTCCTCTCCTGTAGGAAGAAGGTGAGCCGTGGGAATCCTTAGAAAGAATTCCAAGCGGTAGAGTGGCCTCTTCAATGCTGTCTGGGCTGCCGGTATGCGAGGATGAACCACTCCCTGACAAAGAGCCACCAGGAAAATTTGCTCTTCTGCCACCTACACCAGCATCCATATCACTGTTGACCTGTAGAAGAAGTGCCACTCTTCTGGCTAGAAGATCCCTTTCAGTCCCCTCATCTCTCCTAGGTTGACTCACATTAGCATCCCTTGCATTTCTAGTGCTTCCTTGTGGCATGTCTGCAAAGTTACTATCATTATCACTGGAAAATCCAATATTGCGAGGGGAGCCTTGCAAGTCTCTTGGATACTGAATGTATGATTGAGCATCTCTTGACACATTTCCTTCACTGGGTGAGAGGTACTGCGATGGAAGCGATTCTCTTGAACCAGGTTCAAGGGAAACCCTTTGATTTTGCGCTGAGAAATCAGCATTCCTTTGATTTCTATCCTCTGCCACTGATCTTGGATCTACCAAGTGGTTTCTTGGTGTCATTTCTTGTTGTCTTTGAGTTTCTTGGGCACGCCTTTCATTTCCATGAAGGTATTCTTCCCCTGAACCTCTGAGTATTACAACTTCAGCTCCAGAAGCCATGTGTTCACCAATATCCAATGGCTGTAGACTGTCAAGGTCTAGGGGCAACTTGCTTGGTGATCCCTTAGTCATGTCCTCTGTTGAAAGCTTCAGTTGAATAGTAGATAAAGCAGTCCTTTCACTTATTTCACTCCGAACACTACCATCCATGGATGATTTAGTCCTGCTTGAACCATGGCTGTTAGAACCAGATACATGACTCTGTTGAGACGTTTGTTCTTCTCTTGGAATTTGATCAGAAGCCATTTCATTATTTTCCTGGTTAAAAGGGGATGGTGTTGGTTGTTCCATCCCACCTTCAGACTGCCATGGTGTAGTAGCTGCAGAGCTGTGAACATCCTCCATGACCATTGACTGGATATCAGCAGCACCGACATTATCCTCCACCTTCATTTCATATTTTCTCTTGGTACCCTCCACGCTATGTTGTGAAACCGACATGGACAGTACACCGCTCACAAAGTCTGCAGAAACTTCTGCAATGGCTTCCTGCACAGCATCCTGGGACACACCAAAATCCTCCGCATCCTCCGGAAAGCCACTTTCATTATCTTCATTGTCAGACAGGGGGATGTTAATGTCTGTGTCACTGCTCATCGCTGCACTCTCATCCTCTTCAAGAAAAGGGAAAGTCCCTTTTGCCAACCCCCTGAACTTATCTCCATCCTGTGAGTCAAGGCTGGTATCAAGATTAAGAGGGAGTGGAGCAAACCGCTCTACGGGGGCAGCCTCATCGCTCTCAGGTACTCCACCTAAAGGTGAAATGACATCTATATGGGCATCTCCCTGTTTGCTGTGATGACTGCCTGAAGGACGTTGCTTCTCATCAAGACTTTCCTCTAGAGGATACTGGGTGAGGGCAGCATCTTCTTCTTCCAGGGGATGCTGTGATAGGGTGGTGCTTTGGAGCAGGGATGCTGGACTTTGTGCAGCTGCAGCAGTAGATGAGGTAGTCTGGAGTGGTCTGGGGGTGGAAGACACGCTACTGGCCTTAGATGAGGAACGACTTCCACTGCTGGTGAGAGATCGTCGAGGAGATGGGGTCGGAGATGAGACAAGAACCTCTTCCTGTACCAGCATATACCAAGAGTCCTGGTGAGAAAGAAGAATAAAACAACAACATAGAATTGTTAAAATATGTAACTTATTACTCCATTCTTTTTCACTATGGTTTCCTACAGAGATGTTCTGAATTCTGACATGAAAAGTATTAAAACGAGTGTGTTGATATGTTATTAAGTCTGAAAATATTGCTCCCCTATCCAAATGTACCGGTACATTTACATGTATATATTTATTTTTTAAAAGGGTATATGGAGATCCCCTTTTAGATGCAGCATTAACATCCATCAAGTCAAATCAAATTTCCAGATTGTCATAAATCATTGATTGATAACCGATTCATAGCAGAATACTATTAACTCGGATCTCAGCTATGTACATGTACATGTACTGTATGTAACCCTCTAACTTTATGGCAATTTTGCACAATCACACTGATTATAATATCCTATCAAATAATGATTTAATAAATAAATTAATGTATTTCTGCTCTTACTGGTAAATGAGAATTTCTATTCTACAATTTGACAATGTACAGACTGACATTGGTGTGTGTAGATGTAGTTAAAGAAAGGTAACAAATTAATATTGCATATATATCCAAAGAAATGTACATCTCCTGACCTTGCAACCATACAACTCTTCTGCAGAGCACACAATGATATACATGTACATGTACATGTCATAAGCTCTGTATATATCAAGGGGTCAGTGACACAAAGATATAACTCCATATATTGCCAAAATGAAATGTTCAGAAAAATGTGGGCTTTCCAGGAAACACAAAGACTTAACTCCACCCAACACCCCATTGAAGTCAATGGCTAGTGAAACATAGACTAACTCCTTAAGGGCTAGGTGCTCAGTGACACATAAACCACTTTTTCTCATAATGGCCAACATGGTGTTACATCTTTGTGTCACTGACCCCTGGATATATACATATCAACTGACCTGTCTTGGAGAGCGAGAAGAAGACCTGCTACGAGGCCTCTCCTGATCACTCATGGCTCAGCACAATCCTTGATTAGATTCCTGATTAATTATAAACACTGGTCACTGGTTGTCCTCACTGGTCATCTTGGGTCTTACAGCTAGGGTGACTGCATGGGGCTAGGTAGGTGCTTGGGTAGAAGCTGAAGATAGAAAAGAATAGAGAGAACATTATGATAGTGTAGTGTAGTTGATAATAGATTGAATTAGATTCCTGATAAATTACAAAATGCGTGTTTTTATCAACTCGAGATTGCCAAATAGCCCGCTATTTCTGATTTGGGAAATAATCCCGAAGTTACAAATCGCGTCTTCATCAGCTCGAGATATTTTGCTCAGCGTTCGCGCATAGTGCGAGTCTTCGGGCTGGTGCAGACGCACTGGACAAATAGCGAGATATTTTGCCAAATAGTTGGATGTTTTGTAAACTATGCCAAAATTTCTTGGGATGATTATCCCAACCAAATATCCCGCTAATTGCAACTTCGGGCTGATGAAGACGCAAACTAACTGGATAATTTGCGATCAGGATAGTTGAAATAGCGGGATATTTGGTAATCTCGAGCTGATGAAAACAGGCCTATTCAGAGCTACTGGTTATCCTGGGCCATGGTGACCTAGCTGGTATATGGTTAGAGCTGTGGTTAGAGCTGTGGATAGAGTAATTGAGAGAACATTATAAAAATGAAGGGCTAACTGATAAGATTCCTGATGAATTACAAGCACAGCTAGCTACTCCAGAATCATTCTTGTTTTTCACATTCCTGTGACATCTGTTTGATGTACACATGTGACAAAATTCATTCAGAATCAAGGCAGGAATATTCCTCTTACATCTTGAAATCATCTGACTTGCTTTCAATCAGCAAACAGGAAATAAAGTAAGCAACTAATTCACTAAAACAGCTAGGAAGTCCCACTGAAAGAAAAATTGGCATGGCATTTGACATACGAACATATGCTTGAAGTATTCAAAACAGTATCTGGTCATGAGTCCCAGTCAAAACAGATGTACATGTATGTGAATAACAAAAATAATACAAAGTATTCATTATGCACATCATGACTTTAGATGTGCTGGCAGCACACTTGAGCAGAAGAAAAGTACCATCAAAAGTACCATCAGTATCCCCCCCCCCAAAAAAAAAAAACACTTGAGCAGAAGAAAAGTACCATCAGTATCCCCCCCCCCAAAAAAAAACAACAACAAACAAACAAACAAAAAACAGCAAGATTATTTTTATATTGTAATTGAGTAGCTCTGAAGATTTCTTTTCTCTCCCTCCCGTTAAATTTCTAAAAAATTGCCGCAGTCTACAGCACTATCGCGATAAGTGATTGAATTACTTATTTTGGAAACTGAGCTGAAAAAAGTGAAGATACCTTCCAAGTTTGATATGATCTCTTGCCAACTAGACTAGGAAGCAGATCTAATCAAGTTATGAAGATTTATTACCCAGCTATATCTACTTACATTGAGTTTCTCAACATTGAGGATTCAATTTTTGATTTATTTAACACAGAGGATTTAAAGTTCATGGAAAATGATGCAGTGCCTACAGGTTTTGTAATCATGTTCTGAAAGTAATCTGAAATAATCCACAAAGCAAATGACACTTAATGGCATGATTATGAGAATCCTAATTTGCTTCATTGCTATGGGAATGTGCACATTTATGCCAATGTGATTCAAAAGTACACTTGTGGTGTAATATACAGGCTGTATGATAGGCTTTTATACCAAGAAGGTGTAACAAATAGGCAACATGCAAACATACATGTACATGTCAATCAAGCATTACAAAAATATTCAGATGTTATGTTTGCATTGCATTGCATAGCCACAGAAAGGCGATCAACATCTACGTACCATGATAGTAAAGTAAAAGACTTGAACAGGCAGCACTATAGGCATGTATTCATCAGCTCGAGATTGCCAAATAGCTCGCTATTTCTGATTTGGGAAATAACCCAGAAGTTACAAATAGCTTCTTCATCAGCTCGAGACTTGACCTCTTAACTTGAAACTCGAGCTCGAGAATTAAGCTCAAGATATTTTGCTCAGCATTCGCGCATAGTGCAAATCTTTGGGCTGGTAAAAACACACCAGACAAAATAGGGGGATATTTTGCAAACTAGCCCAAGATATCTTTGGATGGTTATCTCGTCCAAATATCCCGCTAATTGCAACTTCGGGCTGATGAAGACGCGAATTAACTGGATAATTTGCGATAGGGATAGTTTAAATAGCGGGATATTTGGCAATCTCGAGCTGATGAAGACAGGCCTCATGAGACCTTAAATGTATTTGTCCGTGGCAGATCCAGATGGCAATTAACCTTGCTGGATGTGGCCAACATAGCACAAAGATGAGTGAGCAAGTGATTACTATTGTGCAATTAACCATGATGTACATGTCAATCGATGTACAGTCAATTGGTATCATCAGTTGCAAAGCTTTCTGTTTAATACAGGCCTCTGGTAATGTTGAAGTCATCTCATCTATAAAACCTTGCAGTTTCCTTTCATGCAACAGGTATGTTTAGTTCAAGGTAACATACAAAACGCCCTCGAGAATGAGAACCACATGAATATACCATCCTATGACTCAGCTTCATCACAAAATGTTCCAGAACATACATGCTGACGTCATAGACAGGTCACCTCTCAGGGACTACATCCATGTCTAAACAGGAGCATAAAGCTGTGTACCGGTATGAGTACAGTATGTATGTATGATACATGAACACTCCCCACACACCTGTACGTGCTCATCGTTCCTCCTCTCATCTGATAAGTACACAATACTGCATCTCTCAGTATGCTTAACTCATGTTCATGACAAACCTCCTAAGGGAGTTACTATCTTCCTTGGATAAACACATTATAATGTGTCAGAATGTACAACTACCATATACATGTAGGTATGATATGTTGAGAGCGAGAAGGAGGGGGGGGGTAGCTGCATGTGTGGTAGTATATGAGTCAAAACTGAATGTGGAAAATATATTCAGCTACCACATCATGAGTGCAGGTTTGCACATTTCATTTTATATTTAAGGATTTAGAAAATAAATGTATCTAAATAAAGAAATAACACATATATAGTCTATACAATATACATGTAGATCTCATGTATTGAGAGCCAGAAGGGTGTTAACTGTGTGGTAAAGTGTATGAGTTAAAACTGATGAAAAATCAATGTGAAAATTATATTCAGATACTGAATACTGAGTGTAGGTTAAGGTTTGTACAATTCATTTTATAATTAAGGATTTAGAAATAAATGTATATTACTCTAGACATAAAACATCTACATGTAGGTTCTAAACATGAAGAGCTTGTGCATTAATAAATGATGTAAATCACTGCACAAAACGAAAAGACTGTTCGAACCATTAGATTTAAGTAGGCCGTAGATTTTACACTGAATAATTTATCTGCCCAATTTCATGACCTCCTTCGCATGTCCAAAGACTACATTCTATGCAGCGCATTTTTCTAAATGAGGGAGAGGAGGAATCCAAGCCATTCGTCAAATCCCTCAACCCGTCAAATTGTGCAGCTAATTTGGAGCCAGGTCGGCGTGGCTCTTGGGAATGCGATATGCCAGGATTATCATTAGAAGATAGAGGCCTCTATTTAGGGAGACACAAAAAGGGCTTGCAGCTAGTCATTAGCGTACATTCCATGAACATGGATAGCATAGCCATGGTGTCAATAATATTCTGCATGTAAAATAAAGATGACTTGAATGCAAACTATTAACAAAATTCTCTGCATTTTTGGACTGAAAGGGCAGGATCAATATTTTTGGATGCTTGTAGGTAGGTGCTTGCGCTATATAAGCAATCTGTTAATACACTAATATAAGAAAGTAGTTAAAATGGTGCAAAATATAAAAGAACATTCATCAAATATTTAAGAGAGAGAAAGAGAGAGAGAGAGAGAGAGAGAGAGAGAGAGAAAGAGAGATAGATATAGAGAATGCAGTGAGAGAGATGCACAGGTAGACATACCCCTGATTATGCAGCAATAAATAAACAAAAAGATATAGGCTAAATAAAACAGAGATAAACTTAGAAACTGAGAGAAAATCATAGAGAAATAAAGAGGGGGCAAGGACAGGGAGGAGAGAGAGAGAGAATGAGGGGGAGATATAAGAGAGAGAGATACAGTAATAGAGAAAGAGGCTCTGTGTACGATAGAAATGAAAGTCAAAGATACTGCCAGATTGACATTGTTTGTCCCCTTCCCCTGATTTGCCATTGTTGTTATTGCACACACATCCAACATGGATACAATAAGATTCTGATCATAGAGTAGGTATAGTGAAGGTAGTGAGTCACAGGTATCACAGGGTGAGATAACATCTCAATAAGATATGAAGTAGCCTCAAACCAAAACCTCCACAGATCTACTATTTTCATATAGAGAAACAGAGAGGTGGGGGAGGAACGGGGAGAGAGATAGAGAGAAAGAGAGAAAGAAAGAGAGAGAGAGAGAGAGAGAGGTACATTTTATTAAATTTTTATTACAATTCTTCCTTTACAAGGCGTATCAAATATCTGCACACTGATATGGTTGAACTGTTAATGAATCATAATGCAGGGCTTGAGTTCAGTTCATGCACAAGTGTGCTTCCCACTGCTCTAGCCTCTAGGTGAATTACAATTTATTCATAGTGCAATTCTCTTCTGGGAGGGAGCAATGAGCAACTTTTGTATTTTCGATTTGATTTTTTAAATATTTATTTTACTGACCTCTTTCTTATTGTATAAGTCTAGCTACCAAGTACACATGTACCCAAACGAAATATTGAGTTTTCTTATCTCAATTTGTCTTTCTTCCTGCTTTTAGAATAGTTTAAGGACACTACACAGCAAATTGTTTATGACCATTTTACTCTTTATGAATACTTTATTAATAGATTATTAATAGATTAATTTGAGATAACTGGAACATATCAAAATTCACTATTTTTTGTTTCTCTTACCCTTCTTCCCTCCCCCCTCTCTCTCTCCCCCCTCAACACACTAAACTAGACCCTTAATATGAAATAAAGAAAGTGTAAGCCTCTGAATGGAGAGCACAGTTCTTCTTGAAAGCCAAGAACACAGAAATGAAATTGTAAGTAGATCAT